TGCCTTCTTTTCCTGGGAGCATCTACCCCTCCTTCAAGAGCAGATTGAGTGTCATTTCCTCCGTGAGACCATTCCTGACTCCACTGGGGATTGTGTCACCACAGCTTATTCCTATTTTTATCTTTTTGATTTTTCACTCTTTTCAGAAGCAGAGGAAAGCTTCATTCTTTGATCAAAGAATGGAGAGGTGTGAGTTAGTGCTCCTGAGTACAAGATCTCCCTGAAAGGCCTTCAGCGGGGCTGTTTTATAAGGATCTTGTCAGAGGCAGGAGGATGGAATTCTAGGCAGTCTGGCACAGCTGTGCTGCCCCTGACACTCACTCCAGATCACAGTGCCGGGTGTGTGTCCCTGCACACAGCCTGCCACCGCCATCTTGAATTGCAGTGTGTGCGGGGTCATCTCTGCACACGACCCGCCGAGCTGAAGTGTCGGGCACAGCCATTTTGCTGAAGTGTTGGGGGACAAGGCCTCTGCACTTGACACCCTATGAGCAAGTGAAACTGGTGTCAGGACTTACTGAAGCTCGGGTTCTTTATGTCTCATGAAGAAGGAATTCGGCGAGAGGTAAGAAGTAGATTTACTAAGGGGACACACACTCCATAGAGTGTAGGCCATCTCAGAAGGCAAGAGGCCCTGGGAGATACACATTCCATAGAATGTGGTCCGTCTCAAAAGGCTTGAGAGCGGCCTCCTATTTTTATTATAGTCCACATAATACCGTGTTTCACATTGTCTCTCCCACCAGCATTTAAAGCCCCTAAGGCCCTGTAACTTATTTATTTCTCTATCCCAGTGCCTAAGTCAGCGAGTTGCACCTAGTAGGAGCTAATGTATGCATGTTTGAACGAATGAAATCTCTTTGTTTTCCTCCCACAGAGTGCTGGCTCTTGCTCACTTATTTGTCTTATTAAGGTTTTTGTTTGTTTCAGCATAAACAGTATAGGAGGAGCAAGACATTTTTGAAGCATACGTAAATGAACGAATGAATATATAAATAAATGTTGATAGAGTCATCCTGACCCCTGCGTAACAAATAGTTACGGATCACCTACTATTAGGAGCTACATAATACTAGTAGCTATCGCGTTCTGAGTGCTTACTTATGCCCTGCCTAATTTGGAGTCTTAGATTTGCTCAGTTAAGGCTCACAATCCCATGAAGCGGTTTCTGGTATGCTCTGCCCTTCCACTAGTTTGGGCTTCCATCCGTGCCTAAGGCAGGGACTGTGGCTGAGCTCCCGACTAGGCCATCAGGGAGGTGGCAGAGCGCGGATGTGGGGAGGGGACGCACCCCGCCCGTGCCAGCAGGTCTGAAGCGGGTCCCTTCCAGACCGCTGACCCGTCCTTTTCTAAGGACGTGGGTGTGCGGCTACACCTCGGTGTAGAGAGAATCTTAGCGACTGAAACACCAGGGGGCGCTAGCAATTCAGCTTTCCGATGAAGGGCGGGGCTGCCGTGGCAACCTCTCAGCTTCCTCTCTGGACTCGCAGCCCGGGAGCCGCCCTTTCGCCCGCTGCTTCTTTTCACAAAGACTGCAAATCTGCAGACTACTCACCCTGTGCTACGTACTTGCCTGCTTTATCTCATTTAATTCTCACAAAACCCTAAGAGGAAGGTTCTTATATCTTCATTACATTGATGCTGAAATGAAGGCTAGCGAGGTTAACTGACTCGCTCAGGGTTACACAGAGGATGGCAGAGTCCTTGTTCTGAACGACTTTTCTTGCTCCTCCTACTTTTGCATCCCCACGTCCTACGTACATAGATTATACACATACCCCTATCAACGCAAACCAGGATCCTTCTCCCTTCTGTTTATTTAAATCCGATGTCTCTAGACCCACAGATTTCCCTGCTCTACTGAACTTCATAGGCACTTGGGGCCTCATCACCCACTTGGGGCATCTGCTGCCCAGCACTGCCCTGAGATGTCACATCTGCAAGGCTTGTTCCCCCATGAGTGTGTAAGTTCCAGCCTTTAGCATGAGGCTTCACACAGTCAGTGCTTAATAAACATAACGTGAATAAGTGACAGGCAGGCACAGCAAATGTGTGTGTGTGTGTGTGTGTGTGTGTGTGTGTGTGTCCTCAGTATAGCTCAGGGTCTGCAGAGAGACAGCAACAACAAAAACCAGTTGAAAATATGTGAATGAGGATTTAATAGTTTAACATTACTATTTTGCTCTACCTCCTTTATGTTTGTATCCAGCTGGGACTGAAAGCTCCCAGAAGGTAAGGATGAGGAATGTTGGCGTGTGTGTGTGTGTGTGTGTGTGTGTGTGTGTGTGTGTGTGTAGGGGGCGTACTGGGGGAAACCGAGGAGACTGGGGCAGGGAGCAGAGCTTTCCCAGGCTGAGAATAAGGTATGTGTGTGTATGTGTGTGTGTGTGTGTGTGTGTGTGTGTGTGTGTGTGAGAGAGAGAGAGAGAGAGAGAGAGAGAGATGCCAAGATCTGAGCTAGAGCAGAAGGAAAATGAGCCCTGAATAGGAGCCTTGTGTGTGGCCCAGTGGTGCTGACTCACCAAGACTCAGGAGAGGAAAACACACTAGCGATGAAGAAGGGGCCTGTATGTTGTGGAAACCACCGTACCACCCTGAGGACACCCTGTCTGCTCTGAGGCCAAATGGTCTTGAGAGGCTTTGATTTGGCTTAGGTGGGCTAAGAGTGGGGAGTGGGCATTACAGAGAACGGAGATGGGTAAGTCTTTTGAGAATGCGAAAGACCATTCCTGGGAGAGCTATGGGTTTGAGTTCAGGTGGGAAAGGAGAAGCACGACGAGGAGGTGTCTCTCCCCAGGTGTTCAGTCGCCCTCTCCACAGGCAGGTGTGGCAGGTCAGATTCACAAGCGGGGAGGGATAGATGCTCATGGCTTCAGTGGCTTCTTGTCCACACCTGAGCAACAAGACATGCCTTATGAGTAAGTGCTTCCCAGCGCTGATGCTACAGATGGAGGCATGGCCTGGGAGTAGAAACTCCACAATCCTCCCCACTCCCACTCTCACCTCAGCCGTCAAACTGGTTGAGAGACAGGAGGACAGGATTTCTGTGGCAACCAGGATGGCAGGCAGCCCTAGGCCAGAAGGCAGAGGACAAAGCCCAGGTGAACAGGATCAAAGGTCAGACATTGTAGAGCAACAGGTGAGAGGAGGAAGGAGTGCCCGAGGGAGCAGCTAGGACTGGGCTAGGGATTCTGATCCCAGGTCTGCTAGGGAAGGAGTGGGTAGCTCAAGCGGAAAGAGGGATCCAGACTGACTTTCTAACCCAGGCCTCGTTGTTCTCCTCGTCTGTAGTACGAGGGAGCTAGAATCAAGGGTCTCTGAGCTTCCTTCTCGCTCTAACATTTGATGACTCCATGTGTGTAGGCGATCATCCCCCTTTCTCCCTACCAAAGCCCCCACTCCTTCAGTGTCCTGTTCCTAGCTCAAAGTCTCAAAAGAAAGTCTCAAAAGAAAGCTAGTGAACCAGTGGATTCATACTTAGGTGTATGACTGACCATAAGCTAATATTCTGAACTCCCCAAATGTATTACCTAGTTTTGACTATAGTATGGCCACTAGGAGAGTGGACTTGAAGGCCAAATGGATGAAGGTTTGAATCCCAACTGTGCCGCTGAATCTCAGCTCTGCTCCGCTGTAGGACCTTGAACAATGTACTGTGCCTCAGTAGGTATTCATTACTTTATGGGTCAAGCAGGAATAACCTGCCTCTTTTAGTAGTTGAGTTGATTAAATGAAGTAACATATGTAATATACCTGATTGAGAGCTTGGCACCAAATAAAATACTCAGAAAATGTGTCTACCCACCTTTAGAGGACTTAACCATGGCTAGAAAGAACAGAGTCTGAGAGATTAAGGTGCAAGAGGCTTACCAGAGAGAACCCTTGGGATCCACAGGAAGAGAGGGGAGGGGAGGAAAATGAAGGGGCAGGAAAGTCGAGCTGCAACACAGTCTCAGTAGAGGGTTCAGCCAATCCTGCAGGGGGTTTTGAAGCTGAGATGTCCCTTCAGAGCTCCCTTGAGTTGGGACAAGGAGGCCATGTCTTTATATTCCATATCAATCAGTCTTTAGATATGAACTGCCCATGGATGGAGATGTGACCTTGGTCAAATTGCTTTCTTTCAGTTAAGGCAATTCCTATAAGGGGCTTATAGCCAAGGGCTGTTTCCTGTCAGCATTTTCTGCAGCTAGGAAAATAAATCTTTCATTCCTGAAGGAAGACCTGAGCATCTGCCATGTTGAACTAGTGAGTAGGACACTTGTCGGGGATAAGGCCTGTTGCTACACTTCCCAGTAATTTCTCCAAGCCAACCATTTCACAGTGGTGTGCAGAGCCACGAGACCTTCCCTGTGCCCCGCCAGTCTAACAGCAGCACAAGTAGTCACACCACTGGGAGAAAAGGAGAAGCTGCTTCTGCATCCCTCCAAGGGAATCACTTGTAGGTATCCCAGAAGTACCCAATGGATTCTTTTCGAAGCTCGTCTTTTCTCTTTTGCTTACAGAGATTTAGAGGGCAGGAGGGGGACATTTATGTGTAATGCAGCAGGGTCCTTTCTCAACTTGCCTTTTGCCCGTTCCTAGGTCTGCCCTACAAGTTATTTGAGAATGTTTTGCAGAGTGCTGTGGCCTGGGAGCTCCTTCTTATACCAGCCCGAGCCCTTGCAGAGAGCACACCACATTGCTGTCTCCCTGAAACAGGACTCAGCTCTTTTTTTTTTTTTTTTTTTT